ATAGCAGTTTCTGCATATCCAACAGGCTCCTTGAATGGTACGATTCTTCTATGATTTGTTTGACAGAATTCTCAAGAACTCTCTCTGGTACCTGTCCAAATAAGCAGCACCTTATATGACTAGTGTAAGAAAATTCCACATGAAAATTCAGCCACTTCAAAAATTTTGTGAAGGCACAAAGTTGTTTTTTCCTGTCTTGATCAAAATGTTCATCTCCAATCCTTAGAGTGAGCAATAGTGATTTTTACTGAGTGATATCTCTTTTATCAGATTTAGCTTATTAGAAACAAAGAAGGAAGTCTGAAGGTAAAAATATTTTAAATGCAGAGGAGTCTGAATCTAGCCTTACATACAAGACAAAGAACTTCACTTATTCTTCTAGGTTCCTTGCAGCACCACATGGTAAATCTTACTTCATCTTCAACAGTGCAGTGTGGAATTGGCTAGAGTGTCTATTACAGTTGGTGAGCTCCCTAGGGGCTTTCATTTATTCTCAGTATATGAGGAACCAATAGAATCCTGTGGAGCTATAGTGTGTGTGTGTGTGTGTGTGTGTGTGTGTGTGTATATATATGTATGTATGTATATGTATGTATGTGTAGATCTAGTCTGTTTTATGCCAGTGAAGATGCTGTGCTGTAACATTCCTTCATGTTTGTTCTGTTGTGAAAGATGCTAAACATATAATGGAAATTAAAAGGTTTCTGCAGGATATTCTTTGCTCTTCTCACGCAAGAGTTACTGGACCTGACAAACTAAAAATGAGTAGGGCATTTCTTAAGCACCTCTCAAGTCCTTTTCCTTACAGCTTTCTTTGGCTATTCAGCTATTGACTCTATGAAAGTTGGCTCTACCTATATCTGTGCACAGGGCTCAGTGCATTTACAGTGGCTGTGATAGCCCTTTCCTTGTCAACATCTTTCACACTCTTCTCGCTTTGAGCAGAGAGCAAGCTGCTACTAGAAAGAATTTTTGGGCATGTATGATGACATGCTGCAGTGGAACCACATGTAGTAGGTCTGGGTGTGTGACAGAAAAGGGATGGTACTCTATGTTTGCTAAACTGTCCTTGCCTTCACATAACTAGAACAGAATGTGTGGAAAGGAGCAGGTAACAGCTTTCAGCATTCTGCCTGAGCAATAGCAGTAAAAGCAGCAACCAGGCCTGGGGATTTCCCACTCTTCAGCCACAGATCCCATGAGTCTTGTGAAGAACAGATGGAAAATGACCTGTATTTTCCCAGTTGTGGCTGTTCCTTCCATTACTTCTGCCCAGATGGTGTACTAAGAATTAAAAAACTTGGGAAAAGATACATCTCTCATGTTTTTAACAAGGAACACAGGATTTGAGACTGAAGTACTTGAAATCTCTTACTGCATTGGGTTTCTGGCAGCCTTTGTAACATCAGTTGCAGAAGAATATTTTATTACAAACGGAACTGGGTGGGTTTCCACCATAATTTCTGTTCAGTGTTGTGTGTCAGGACACCATTTGTAAATGCTGACTCTGCTTGCACCATGTTTTTAAAGAAATAAGTGTACAAATATTCACCTTCTTTGTGCTTAGAGGATAACTTATCAATGTTGCCCTTCTGCTTTCACAGCTTTTGAAGGAAATTACTGGCCCCACTTCTTTCTCCAAAGACAGAAAGAATCTCTGCAGAGAAGTAAGTGCTTGACCTCGTATTTAATGTTTATGTTGCAGCTATGACTAACAGCTCTAGTCAGCATCAGTTCTATATTGCAGAAGACCCTGTACAAAACACATTCTCAATATAAGTCCTTGCTTCAAGGAGCTTATAATTAAAAGCCTTAGTTTTATAAATTCTAACTGAAGGGCTTGCCTATGAAGAGGTGGTAAAACTTGTTGCCTGGCTGTGATAAGTTTTACGGTAACTGGAAAATAATTTGGTCTGCCATGCTGAGGTTTTGATGCTTAAGGATAGAAACTGTGTGCAGCTGTAGTAGCTTTCAGCTGATGGAATCCACATTTGGAAATTCACAATTGAATTTGTTCTTGCAATCTGTTTGATTTTCTTTCCTGTAGATCATTGCCTAATATTATCTAAGAATTTAGAAAATGGATTCTTCTGATCTTGCAAAGTGAAGGAAAAGAAGGAAACCTGAATCTCTCTGTAGGCTAGGTTAGTTTAAAAGTTGCAGGTCAAACTAGATTTATACACAAGTGAAGGATCAATGTAATGTACTGGTCTACTTAAGGACACTGGGGCTGAAAATATCAAAGCAAATACCAACTTGGAGTACCATCTTATTCTAAAGCACAATTATCCATAATACACAGCAGATAACTAGAGAGTTACTTTTAAAGTTACTTACGTTGTTAGGCCCAAAGGACTGCAGAAGCTCCATAACCGCAGCTGTACCTATAGGTTGTAGAAGAACTCCCCCAAATAGCTTCTCGCAGAACAGGGAATATTTCTTCCTTACCTTTATAGCCAGTGGGGAGTCAGGCTGTGGACAGATCTCCCCTTCAACATCCAGCTATGCCAGCTGAAGCTGTTATTGCCACAGTTCCTTGTAATTTCCGGGAAGTTTTCCCTTAGCTCCTAAGAATGGCTTGTGTGCATGCACCCTAACACCCTGTAAGCAAAATTAACTCCAGCCACCTACTTAGGTGCAAATTTGTGCTAGTCTTTCTGAATCTAAGACATACAAAAGACAGTAGGAAATGGTCTTACTCATTTCAAAATATGTACCATGCCAACACAGAAAACAATTAGCATAGCATAGCTTTAAAGGACTATAAATGTTAACTATCAAAAGTACAGTGAGAACAGTGGATATAATTAAAATGTTGATTTATAATTAAAATGGTAACTCTTGACAGTGGTGATTGTAGTATTTTCTGTTCCAAACAAAGACAATGATAGCTGTGAAGCAACCCTTCTGAAAACATAGGATCATTAAAAAGGAACTTTAGATATTTTCTAAAATAAATATGGATATCAGTCCTAGTATTCTGAACAAATTATGTACCATATTATATTTACTGGCATTCTTCCTAATAACTTATTTTCTTCATATCTTGCTGTAAAATACTGTAGCTTGCCCTTGCATACTGTCCAAGAATTGCTGCATTTTAGTGGTTGACAATGAAATTCTTTAATCTAGTTTGTGGAAAATGTAGAGGAGTAGAACAAAAAAGAATGATATAAAATACAAATTCATGATAATGAGAGGCATTTCTTTAGGCAGAAGCAGCAAAGAGAGGTTTGAATTAGGTAAATTCTCATTCAGCATAAGCCTGGAAAAGCAGCATGAGGTTTATCATAAAGGAAAAACCACTGAGCCCTTGTGATCAGCCGAAAAAAATTCTGTCCCTCTCATCTCTGTGTTCTGTATGCTCGTACAGCTTGAGGACTAAGCATGAATACGCACAAACTGAAAGAAAATCAGTAGACATCACTTAATAAAAGCTGAACTCAAAAGACATATAGATATCAAAAGATAGATAATCTGTTTTTAAGCTTTCTTGAGTCACTGACGTTCCCATTGGTTATTTTTCTGCAATAAGATTTAAATAAAACCCTTTACACTTCATTCAAAGGCACTCCTTTATTAATAGAAAACAGCACCTATTGCACTCTGACCACTGTGTAATCCCACGTAATCGTTCCTTGGCACACGCTGAGCAAGCTGGGGTTTGCTGGTCAGTATGAATTAAACACAATATTAAACTAGCTAGGATTTGGCATGAAGGATAAGGCATCAACGGTAACAATTAGCCAACTCCTATTTTCCAGTCAGACATTCTGGACAGCACAGAAGTATGGAAGAGGAGTACTTTCTGCCGACAGGTAACTAGCTCATTGGAAAACAGCTTTTTCTACATCATCTGGATAAAAACAGTAGTGTTTTGTAGTCATTTCATCACCCTTTAAGAATTAAAAAAAGTGTTTCAGCTTTAAAACGCTATATATAAAGTAGAGGCAGACTTTGCAAATCTTATCTTATAGGTAGCGCTTCTTAGATACATTCTAGGATATTTGAATTTCAAAAAACTCAAAATTAAGCAAAATTTATTTAAAAATGAAAAGTAACCATCTAAGTTTGCAATGACTTAACAAAGTAGATGGTTTTATTTACTTCAGTAGCCCTATCAACTTCAGAGAGACTGTTCAAATGCTTTAAGTAGGTATAGAAATGTCTGTAGCATCAAGCGCTGGAGTTGTATCTCTTATTATGATTCATTTCAGCCTCCTGAAATCTGTCCCTTCAGACCAAAAGTGATTACTTGTTAACAGTGAAAACTGATTAAAACATTCAATGTATTAACAAAGTTGGCTTGAATTTTGTTGCGCATGCACGCAGAGCCCAACAAGTGGGGATTTACAAACTGAGCTTTTAAGATTGTCTGTGGATATCTAATGATCTGACTGTGCAATGAGATATTATATAGTAATCTCATATATAGCCCCTTAAATGTTATGTCTGAAATGTTGAATGGTCTCTCCATAGCAAGCTGTGGCCTTTGCAAACAGATTGGGCAGACTGAAATAAGAAAGAAAACCTTTATATCACCAATGAAGGAGGTAGAACAAGATAAAAGGAATCTAGAGAGCTCTCCTCTGCTTACAGTAAATGTAAGAGTATTGCTGTCATTCCAGCTGTTGTTTCATTTCCTGAGTTGAGATAGTATTTGGGGTTACAAAAAAAATTGCTAGGATGTTGTTCGCATCATATTAGCACTTAAGAGAACTAGGGATCTGTGGGACTGTTGGATTAAATTAGGCTATTCAATGAAAATGCCATCTAAAGACAAAAAAAGTGGAAAGGAGGAGAAGGACGTAGATAACTTGGCAACAGCGTAAGTACTGCATTGAGGGGGATAAAAAAAAAGGTTTTCTTATGATGCCATAGTAATTAATCTAAGTAGAAACTGACTGGCTGTTCCAGCTATTTATGTTTGAAATGGGAATCAGAATGAGCAGATATGCTATAAGGAGAGCTAAATCCATTTTTCTCTTTCACTTCTTTAGTTTTGGGCAAGGATTCCTGTTCTACCTGGGGTGGAGGTCATTTCTCAACCTTTGATAAATACCAGTATGACTTCACTGGGACCTGCAACTATATCTTTGCTACCATATGCGATGAAACCAGCCCAGACTTCAACATTCAGTTCCGCCGTGGGCTGGACAAAAAAATAGCGAGGATCATTATTGAGCTGGGACCTTCTGTCATCATTGTTGAGAAAGGCAGCATTTCTGTCAGAAGTGTTGGGTAAGATTCTGGGATAAATGGGATAAAAGCTATATAGCAGTTACACCAAAGAAGACTACTTTCTACCAAAAAATGAATTAACAAATTACAGAAGACAAGTAACTGGACTCTGTTCCCATTTCTTCCTACCAAGCTATCTCTCTGGATGAGTATTCCACTGGCAGTTATTTGAATAAAGTTTATAGTACATTTGTGTAGGCAAAGGGATAAACTAACCTTCACAGACCAAAACAGTTCTCAAATTGAAAATGTGATCTCCTAAATACCACCAGTCTGATCTCTATTTCAAGCACAGCTGAAACAGTTTATACTCTTTAGGAGATATTACTTGAAATTCCTGAGTTTTGCTTAGAGCTCATTTGATTTGAGACTGAAATAACTCCAAGCTCTCTGTGCTAACGGTAATATGTCTTTAGGATACAAGGAAAACTTTGAACTGTTCAAGCAACAGAAAAATACTGGAAGAGCCTACAGAGAAGTTCTTATGTACAAGGCCACTGACTGTTTACGTTATGCCAGGGATTACCATCTCCAGAAAACAGTTGTTTTACTGAGGAATTAACACTGATAGGAAACTTTAGGTTCTGCTTCATTCATTCTTCTAGACAAATTGCTCCCACACAAGGAAATCCCGCCAGGAAAGTTTTCAGCATTTTTTATCAGATAGGTAGGATTGAATATTTGCCTGTAGGTTAGTGCAGATCCAGGAAACTTTGCTATGGATTGTCTGTATTTTGTTACACTTATCTGGGTTTATATAATGACCATCACCACAAAAAGATGACTTGCAGCTGTACCTTAATATACCAAACTGTACTCTAGAAAAATTTCCTCTGCTAGTGTATTTTCCACGAGAACTATACAAATATATGGGCCTAACTCAATGTCCTACATTTTAAATTTGTTGTCCTATACTCACAAGAATGAAATGCCATGGCTGACATAGTCTAACCTTGTTGATAGCCCTACTTCAAGTGGAAGGTTGTTCTGGGTAACCTCCAGGGGTCTCTTCCAAACAACATTTCTTTGATTCTAAGACATATGCACTATAACAAAATATATTTCTTTGTCAGTGTTGTTGGTTTGTAGCATTAGAATTCAGCCACAAGGATAAAGACTTAATTCTGCTATCCCATTCCAATTATGTTTTTCTCTAACCTTGCCGGTTCTCAGTGTTAGCAATAATTTCTGTATTATTAGGCTGTGGCCTACAGAACCTCTTCAGGATAATTGTCAATAGTTCTACCACAAAAAATGCATAGGCACAAGTTCTTGAAATACATAGCTAAGGCCCTAATAAAACCAAACCAAGTGGAGATCCTGAGTTCTGTGCAAACATACTCCCTCTTATTTTTAAGGGTTCTTATTTTATATGCTCAGTGTGCAACTTGCTGCACAGCTTGGTGATCCTTCTTTGAAACAGCTGGTATTGACTCGTAGTCAGTAGAAATGTGTGTGTATCTTGAAACGTTACAGATATGAAGGAAAAAATTTCTATATTGTGTTGCTACAAGTACTCAGTTTACTATGTGTATTACTTCTAAAAATGATTACCAATGCCTGCATCACACATTGATATGAGAGGGTTAGTTTTCTCTTCTCTCTCCTTACAGTGTCATTAAGTTGCCTTACACCAGCAATGGAATTCAAATAGCACCTTATGGACGCAACATCCGCCTCGTGGCCAAGATGATGGAGATGGAGCTAGTTGTCATGTGGAACAATGATGACTATCTTATGGTTAGTAAAATGAACTCATAAAGCAGAAGAGAAAATCCTCACTGACTTGTGGGAACGATAGGATCTCTTTAGACTTGATGGGTGCTTTTTGCATGTGTTTGCTGTTTGGATATTTATTCTTTTCCTGCTTCATCCATTTCCCTTGAAATAAACAACTTTGCTTTTTATGCTTGCCTTTCCTTTCCTTTCCTTGGTAGTTAACTAAGGTCACCAAGACTGAGATTTGTGGGCGTTTTCCCTGGATTTTAACCTTTCCTCAGACTATTCCAGCAGCTTAAGTATTTTGCCAAAGGGATGTTGTAGTTGTTTACAGTTATGCAGAACTTAGTAATATGTGCCATAGTTCTGTCATTTCTGGTGTGCTTCATCTGGGCATCTTTTGATTTCTAACAGATGGTGTTCCTCAGAGCTCTTTTTCGTATAGCTTCTCATATTTTTCCCCAAAAGATCCTGTTGTAGTTTAGAGAATGGAAAACTTTTCTCAGGCTGTCCTGTGATATTAATGCCACACAGGACACTGAATTCTGAATTGGTAAGCCTGCTAAAACAGAGATTGTAACCTAGTAAATTGTCTGGGAGTTTTACCAGTGCTACTATTACCCATGTAACAGGAAACACTTTTATAATGGGTACATACTATACTCTGTAAACAGTCAGACTCTTTTCCCTGATCTAAGGTTTTAGTGATAATTTATTGATTGTAGCCTATAGCAATTTTACTTCTTCACCATCTAGAGCAATAGATAACTGAATAACATTCCTCTGAAAACAGACTTTCTTCCTGTAACTTTCAGTTTCTTAAGGGAACAAACCTGAAATTTGTGCTCTTTCAACCAGTAATATGAGCAACGAAACAGCATAATTTCCGTCTCTATTTTTTTCCAGCTTCTTATCATATTATCCTCCCTCATTTCCCTGGAAATGTGTCAGAATCTTATTCTTTTATTGAATCAAAGAAACATAACAATCACTACTTGCTGACTGAGAAAAGAAGTAACTGCTTGCAAACCTCTTGCCCCCATCAAATCACTGAAATTAATCAGAAAGGTCACCTCAAATTGGATTCTTGAACTGAATTTGTATGAGCAAGGTAGTGCTGTGTAGATAATTTTAATTGGAGTGATCCTTTTAAAAGTTTTACTTATTTTATATCAGGTTTTGACTGAGAAAAAATATATGGGGAAAACCTGTGGAATGTGTGGAAATTATGATGGCCAAGAACTGAATGACTTTATGAATGAAGGTAAGGTCTAAAGAACAGGCTTAATGGAAGGAGGTCTAATTAAACTGAGTCAAAGTGAAAATGTAATGCTATACTCATTTTTCTCTGACTGTTCAGACACTTTTAGAACTGAGTAAAATGCTCCCATAGCTCACCAACAAACCAGTCTTATGATTATGCCAAACACTGTTATTTGCCAGTGTTATACCACTGTTATTTCCTACGATTATATTTTGAAACACGTGGTAAGGATTACACTGTCTGTCTCACCTAATTTTCAGAGCAATCTAGGTCCATAGCAAGGCACAATAAGTGGGTGAAATGATTACATTAGGCAGAAGCAAGAATGAGGCTATAATAAGAACAACATAGTGGACAAGAACGTTGACAAGTAGTGTGTCCCAGTAGGGGTGGATCTTTACAACAAAGTCAGTTGGTGCTGAGGACTTGACATGCACTATATGCAGTTCACAGGTTTCGCTTCAGACTTGCTCTAGTCTGGTCTGAAGGACTCATGGCCATTAGCAGTTGGAGCCCATTAGGCATGCTCTTAGAGTACATCTTCTGGTTCAATTTCATCTGAAAGAACTCAGTACACCAAGACCACACCGCAACACAAACCAAATTACTATAAGTTAGCATGGTTAGAAGATTTGCTTCAGAGGCATGCTGCTGATCTGAACTACGATGCTAGTGTGGAGACACTAAGCTGCACAGTAAGCTGCAATCTTAGATCAACCCTGCAGTTTTCTGTACGCATCACAGAGAAGAGTTTTAAAATATATACAATTTATTTTTAGATTGTGGTGAGTTTAATGCCACATGTAGGGGAAAACACAAGAATGCGGGATGGGGAGAGGAGGCATGAACTGACAAATGGAAAAGATAACACAACTGGTAGAAAAGGAGTAGCAGCTGATATCTTGTAAGGTTGTAGATGTGATAGACTAGGAAATAGCTCAGAAATGATCAAGGTATTAAAAGTACACTTTGCTGAACAGACTCCAGGTGGAGGGCAAAAGGTAGTTACCATCACAGGAAATGGGGCTTGGTATAAGACTTTTCACAGTGAGAGAACAGAACCTGGCTTTTACTACATCACAGCAACAGTTACACAAATCTACACAAAGTTTTTTTCCTGACAAATTATAAGCCTTTGATTTGCAGGTAAATTGCTGGATACCTACAAATTTGCTGCATTACAAAAAATGGACGATCCATCAGAGATCTGCCTGTCTGAGGAGATATCAATTTCTGCCATTCGTCACAAAAAATATGTAAGTAAGATCTTGTTGGCTTAGAAATCAGCAGCGAGGCAGTGATTTTATAAATCTAAATGGAAATAGATAAAGTCAAAGATGTATATAGCATGATATGAGAAAGAAAAGGACTTCTTTGCATCAAGATACATTTTGAAAAGGGCCCAGAGGTATTATTAAGGCTGGATTTATATGGCTTAGAAAAACTCACCAACATTTAGCTCTCAGCCTTCCAAGAGTTCGTGCAGGTCACCACAGGAAGTTCATGGAACTTAGTGGAGCTTTAATGGATTTTGTATTGAGCAGTTAATAACTCGACATTGTAAGCTGTACAGACTTGAAGACATGTAACAACACTTTAAACACATTGCCAGTTAACAGCATTCGTAATAGGATCAACAACTATCACTTTCAATCTTAGATGAGAAGAAAATCAGCCTCTCTCTTAACATGATGAATCCATATAATTATGGTCAACAGAGGATGCTTAGTAACAGCACAGAACAAAAGGGCTTCTTTTTCATAGATTTTACAGGTATAGGAATCAAATCTTACTTAGGATGATCCTGTTAAGTCATTTCATCAGGGAAACCCAAATTTTGCATTTTCACACAGTTTTTTCTACCTAGGAAGTCATAAAGTCACCATATACCTAAATGGCAAATACTCATTGCTACCCTCTAAAAGGCATTTCAGTTTTATAACATGATCATGCTCTTTGTTTCCATTTCTACCTCTCCACAAGAATATGATCTTACTTTGCAGTTCAAATGAAGTTACTGTTTGTATACTACGTATAGGTACCTGATAGTTGCAGCATGTTAAAAGAGCAGCTGATTTTCTCTTGAAGTAGGAGCTTTTCCTTTTCTTTCCTCAATATTTTCATCTTATTTTTCTAGCAATCCAAGATTCTGTAAGTTTGAACATAGAAACCATCCCTCTTTCTAGAAGGTTTAGCTGTCATACTACAGAGAAAGAGTCAGCGAAGATATTCCTCTCAGGATTCTTCCTTTCCTAGAACAGAAGGGAAACATTAGTCTTGTATCTTCTATTTAATAATAACAGCAGGATTAAAGAACAGGAGTATCTGAAGAAGCTGTAAGGAAGATGCTTTTCTGAAGAAGAGTTGTAAATATTATTTGTATTCATATTGAAAAATTGCTTTGATTTCCTGGAGGACTTGCTTTGGCTCAGAAGTTGAACCTTTTAATGTTGTTTCTCTTTAAAATGTGATGCTTCAGTAGGCAACGTTATGGGCGATACTAACACATGAAAGGCATGCTCAAAGAGGAATGTATGTTGTTATCTCCACGTAGTGTTTGCCCTGGAACACTTTCCTCTTCCAACTGAATCTCCGTAAAGACAACATACTTCCTGTCCGTAATATTCTCACCCGTTCTTAGGGAGATTGATGATACCAGAACAATGACTCATTTTCAGTGTAATGAGTGTTGGAACTAATTTGACATATCAAAATTCTTCCTTTATACAATGGATTTATATTCCCTTCCATTTGCAGAATGGCTCATGCATTTGAAGCCAGCTAAACATTATTAAGCTGTAGAATAAAAACAGACAAACCAACAAGAAGATCCTAAATAGGTTTTCACAATACGGTTTTCACATGAGAACGACGCCACCAGGAACAGTTTTCCTTTTGTTTTTATTTAGACCCTGATCTGCTCCCAGCTACTCAACCTGGTGGCACCAACCTGCAGTGTGCCAAAGGAAGGGTTTATCATTCGTTGTCAGCTTGATATGCAGGACTGCAATGAGCCGGGACAGAACAATTGCACTTGCTCTACACTGTCAGAGTATTCAAGGCAATGTGCTATGTCCCATCAAATGGTGTTCAACTGGAGGAAAGAAAACTTCTGCTGTAAGTTTGAATGTTTTGTAGGCATGAGATTTTATACACGCTTGCTGTATATTTTATATATAGAGAATGATTATTTACAGGAATTTAAAACAGCTGATACAAAAGTTTCTACTGTCATGAATCAAGTAGAAATGATTTTCTTAAAGAAACAGCAGTGGTCTTGGGTAAAGCGTTAACAGAGAAGGCTTGGAAACCTCAAAGAACGAGGAAGCATGAAAGGTAACTCCTAGATCTGGATCAGAGGCTGTTCAATTCGAAGAAGAGAAGCACCCACCGTGTGAAAACTGTTCAGTTTCTCAGACTTCCAACAGGAGGCTCTTCTCTCTACTTAGTATATTTTGTTTGTTATTCTACTCAGCAAATTAGCCAGCAAAGAGAGACAACTTGTAAATTGTCCCTGCAGTCTCTCATCCTTTTTTTCTACCCATTGCCGTAGACCCTCTTATTCACAGGAGGTTTTCAGCAGCCCATTTCCACATGCTCAGTCTTCTTAATTGCAACTACCAATACAAAGCAAACAGGGAACAAATCTTCAGCTACTCTCTAAGCTGTACATGATTAGACACACGTTTTTTTCAAGTGCCTGCTTGTTATCACAGTTCTGGTTCACTTTTTGAAATGAATCTGCCTGAAACTTTAACCTATAGTTGGTATTATGTAGCAGGACTTCATTGTTTTATAAGAGATCATGCTGACATGAGAAAGTCAAAAGTAACCTAAACTGATGTTATTTCTAAACAAACTCACACATTAAATTACCAAAGATGGCAGTGCGTTCCAAGAAAGAGGAACTTTCAAAATGACCTTGCATAATGTCATATTGTCCTTCAGAAACATATTGTTTAATCATATTTCTGCTTAACCTTTATATGTATACCTGGCCACGGGTAGCAGATTGTTAAAATAAATTGCTTTAACAGGAACATGTTTTTCCTTACCCCTTGCTTCTTATCCTCTTGCAGAAGGATTTGAAATTGGCTACCATTTCGATTTTAGGACGAGAATGGTGAAATCCCAATTGAATTGTATTCCTGAAGTCATTACTTGATTTGCCATAGTCTATCATCTCATCATTGTTACTTTCCAGGCCTTACATCATTTTACTGTATCTGTGTTTCCTGTGTCATATTCTTCTCATCTTCCTCTTGATCTTCACGTACTGGTGCTGCTCTTCATTTTTTGTATTGAATTTAGTCATGAATTTTCTTTCATTCTTTCCTCATACTTACTACAAACTTTCCCTAGTAAGTTCCATTATTATCCTAAACTCTTCTAAATTGCATTTCTTCCTGAAATCATTCTTCCCCTCCACTTCTCCAATGTTATCCTACGTAAACTGGTAACTCATTTTATTCTTTGATTGTTCCGGACTGGTATTAGTCCTTCAAAATTGTAGTTCCTCAGGGCATTTTATAGACTTTGATTAATATTGGTAAGGCAGCATGTACATTCACAGAACAGTACAATAGTTCTTGCTTATCACAGTAAAATAAAACCCAGTCTTCTCTGTGTCATGGCAAATTTCATGCTGCCAAAACACCATTACTAGAACTTGTTGTAAAGTGATAAAATTCAAAACTTAAAAAAAAAAAAAAAAAAAAAGATGTGCAAGTTAGTGAATGGGAGCCCTTGCTTCCCAAAAAACAAAGGTGAGAAACTTTGCAAATAAATTTGCAAATAGATGCCAAACATACAAAGGCAATGAACTATTTAGTCTTAATTGTTTTTTTGGCAGGTTTACCACTAACTTTCCCCATTTCTCTACCTCACTTACTTTCCTCTTTCAGATGGAGAGAAAATTCTGCTTGTTATCACATAATAGAACATATATTTCCATTCCATACATTAGTATTGCTGGGTAGTTGAAGTCTGAAAAACAGAAAATATGTAAGAAGCACAAATACAGGAAGATCAAGGAGTCGTATTCTTGCAGTACTTTAAGTACTACGGAAAGTCTGATTTATGGTAGTTTGCTAGGCTGCAATATAACCTGCTTGCCATCCTTCAAACTTCTGAAAGGAGTTTCTAATTAATCTGGCTTGAAAAATGAATAAACACTGGAGTGAATATGATGATGATGAATACTCAGATCATGAACTGAGTATCAAGAGAGGGTAAGAGAAGGTTACTGTTAGAGCTCACAAGGCCTTCTCCCTCCTTTGTGGTAGATGAGAGAACTTTCTGTGTTTACACTTTTAAAGTATCTTAACACTTTGCATGGTTGTTTATTACAGCTGTGGGAAGATGTTCTTCTAACCAAATCTATGAGGAATGTGGTTCTCCGTGTATTAAAACCTGTTCCAACCCAGAGTACAGCTGTTCCAGTCACTGTACCTATGGTTGCTTTTGTCCAGAAGGTATCATTTTTATATTAATCTTATCCTGTATGACCCATAGAAATGTTTTTTGGCATATATCCAGGTAACTGAAATAAGATTATTAAGCAAAGAGTCAGCAGTGCATTTCAGGCCATTATGCTGCTAGAACTGCAGTTTCTCAGACAGCATGAGATGACTGGAGTCTTGAAGAGTCTCGGTCATGAAAGATCCTTGGTCACTATTGACAAGAAGAGAGCTGTGAAAGCATTTCCTCACATGACCATAGTCTGTGATGGGATAATTATATGCTGCCTGCTTAAAGTTCTGTTTTATAATATAAATTGAATAAGATATAATTTATTTCTTCTCCAAAATATGTGCCTATCCTCCCAGGGCACCAGCAAAAGGTAGTGTACCTCAGAGAAGTTCTGAAATGCTAGGGACATCTTGTAAAAATCCTTTTAAAATAGTTCAAAATGAAATTGCCTACAAAACCTGTAATTATTACTATTATTTGAATCTTTTCCTGAAATTTCAAAACTGAAATATTCTCTCAGGTTACTGTGATTTAGGTATTTACATCATCACCATTTTGCGGTAGTCAAAAATAATATGTTGGGTTCTACACATTCAACACTAGACTTAGGACTCTAGACTCTAGAATTTGTCCGTCTTTCAAGATTCCCAGCTTCATTACAGTGTCATATAGAGGCAATTGGAAAAAATAACATTCAAGCTTAGCGTTATTTCAGATTAAGTTCAACTTTGAAATGAGGACAATTATTTACATTTTCATTTAACAAAGTAGCCAAACCCTGTTATCACTTGTAGAAAGTCAGTTTTATTTAATTAAGGGAAAATAGCCTGCACATAGTATTTCCTGTATTTCTATGGACAGTGACTGTGCAAGAATGCCATTCTCAAGCTGACTTTGGAAGGTACGCTAAGCAGGATGCAAGTTATAATAGGTTTAGTGCTCAGTAAAGATATAGAAAAGTGTATTTATTTTGTTAATCCCCCTTGGCAGGGACTGTTCTCGATGACATCTCAAAGAATCGAACATGTGTTCACATTAAGCAGTGCCCATGTACACTAAATGGGAAAAAATATGCTCCTGGTGAGACAATGAAAGCAGCATGTAGAAGCTGGTAAGTAGAAACAGGTTTTTTCAAGAGAGGGTGGAAAATATCCTCACCAAGTGGTTGGAAAATTTAGCCTAACTTTTCTGATGGCAGCTACAATCATATCATCTCTGAGCTCACCTTGCTTGAAAGCCACAAACCATACATTTGTAGAAGAAGGTTACCTTTGCGTCATTTCCTGATTCGTCTGTACAAATATAGATGTTCCTTCATACCTTACCAGGCAGTATCATTTTTACCTCCTGTATGAAAGGGCAGGTAAAATTAGTTAGAACAAAATAAATATCTAGGACTTACGACTTCTTTCTGGCATTCTCAGCAGTTTTAATCACCAAATGAGTCCTGGAAACTAGTTTTCCCTTTTACATAAGAAAATAATTATTTCAGTCAATATTGTTTAAATTTAGGGGGAAAAGATAAAGTTGAAGAGTAGATTTTTTTCTTTTACTTCCTTTGCTATCATCATTCTGATAAACAAAATAAAGGCTAAATAATGGAATTCAGTCCTCAGGACTATAACAGCACACTTTTCATGAGTAATCTATTCAGGAAATTTTACTGACAATCCATGGAAGAGTTCAGAAACTTTAAATTAAGGTGAACAGCTTCAACTAATGTATGTAGAAAAAGGAAACCAAAGCATGGAAAATTCAAGGGTGTGAAAAGTGATACAAATGGCATCTTCCATCACTAGTAAGTTACTGAGTTTTTAAAGTGAAAGTAAAGACACATTTCAGAGGCAATGGAAATGAAAATTCAGAATGTATGCATGTGTTTATGCTGTTTACTAGCTGATTTGGCAGGTTCATCTGCTACAGCAAAACCTCCAGGCAGAAGGATCAAATCATCTTTGCTGATAAATAGTGACTTAATATGGGAATAATCTTACGTAGAATTTCTTGTTTTCCTCAGTAAATGTACAATGGGTCAGTGGAACTGCATAGACTTGCCTTGCCCTGGAAGGTGTTCCCTGGAAGGAGGCTCCTTTGTTACCACGTTTGATTCTAGGTCCTACAGGTTCCATGGAGTTTGCACTTATATTCTTATGAAGGTAATTTCGTAAAATCTAGAAACACACAAAAGCAAACGTATATGCTTTTTGTCATATGCTTTTTGTCAGTCTTTGATTTCCTTTTGGTACACAAACTGAGGTCTTCCCGTGATACGCATTTATCCTACAAATACTTTTACTCTTACGCAAACACACCTTTTCATTATTTTCTTTCAGAGTTCCAGCCTGCCACACAATGGAACCCTGATGGCTGTGTACGGGAAGTCTGGTTACTCTCATTCTGAGACATCACTTAGTGCGGTAATTTACCTGTCTACAAAGGTAAGCAATCATTCCACGGTCTAGCCAGCATTTCAGTAACCGGACTAGCAAAGTAAATATTTAAAGGCGTGGCTAGTAGCCTGAACTGAAAAATTATGAGGGATAGATATGTGTTCCAATGCATTCATATGCAGCAAAAATCTGTGTTGCCACATCAGTTCAGGAAGGTGGAGTTTCTGTGCAGAAAACTACAGGATTTCCAAGTGACAACTGAAAAAAGTATGGAATAATATGTGAGAAAAAGCTTGCATCCATCTTTTCTTATTATATAAGTCACTGACAATAGAGTGCTTAAATTAAAGAAAACATAAATACCATCAACATAGATATTTACTTCTCATTCCATGTCCTCATTCATACAGGACAAAATTGTGATTTCTGAAAATGAACTCCTTACTGACGATGACGAACTTAAGCGGCTACCCTACAGAGCAGGTAAAGAAAAAGGGAATATATGTTAAATGCATATTATATTAAATCTCTAATTTACATCTTTTCTCTAACATATGCCAATAGCAGAGGTTTTAGAGGAAGGTCAAAAATCTCTCCTAGCACATCTATTCCTCTATGGACTGTTGTATGTGGAAGGAGAAGGCGTATGTAGACAGATTGCTAAAACATTTATTTATGCATGACAGTCATTACTTTAAAATATTCCTATGCACCAAAATCTCTGTTTTAAAATATTCTTATTCTTTTAGGCGACATCACTATTTTTAAACAGTCCTCAGTCTACATTCAAATGTATACGACCTTTGGGCTAGAGCTTGTAGTTCAGACATCACCTGTGTTCCAGGCCTATGTGAAAGTTGGACCACAATTCAAAGGCAGAACCCTAGGTAAGAAATCTAGTCTCCATGTGAAAGAGAATGTAGGGAGTGTAATGCGTTGGGAAAGTGCAGTGCGTTGTTAAGACTTTGGTTTTTCCTAGTAACTTTAAAAATAATCAATGGAATTTGATAGGTAACATTTTTGATGTGCAATATAATACTGATTTTTATATCTGTTTTATACATGCATTTTTCAATATGTCTTTTCAACATAACAAAGGAGCAATGAGTTAGCCTGGCTGTTCTCTGCATCTTGGAGCACACTGAGCTTCGAATACAATGAACCATCATTGTAAATACGATGAACCGTTAGAGAATCCAGAGACTCCTCAGTTGATAAGAACCAGATGGAGATGTCTACGTTTACTTTGAAACATTAGCCACAAAGGCATATCCTGCGCTCTAATTATCTATGTGGATTTACAGAGAGTCTTTAGATGTTAAAAAAGGTTAAATGTATATTATATGCCATTGCAAATTTTATATACTTTAAAAAACACACGTGCGACTGTAGAAGTATTTCATGGCTTTTCTCTTTTACATAATTTAAAACCACTGAAAGAGCCTTTTTTTCAGAAACAAGGCAAACAAAAATTTCTGGATGAATTCATGTCAGCAGATAAAACTGGATAATTTTAACCTGAGAAGTGAGAGGGTCAGAATGACTGAATGCAGAAGACACATGCTCAAGGTTCTGTGGCTACTTTACCTATAGTGCTCGTTAACACTCCACCGCCTTTTTTTCACTTTGTACAGGAATGAAACATAGACCATTGTGTACACACGCTTTGATTTTCAGTCGTCTCTTATGTTTCTCATGTTATTAGGTTTATGTGGCAATTACAATGGAGATACTACAGATGACTTCATGACTAGCATGGATATCACTGAAGGGACAGCTTCCCTGTTTGTAGATTCCTGGAGGGCAGGAAATTGCCAGCCTGCTTTAGAGAGAGATACTGACCCTTGTGCTATGAGTCAATTGAACAGTAAGTAGCTGATCCTGTTCTAACTGATCTCTCTAGCTAGCTTTGTCAGCCCTTCCATAAGCCCAAAGCAGGGGAATGACCAGGGCTTGAGAAAATGAGAGGCTTGAATGTCACAGATTCCTTCACCAACAAGAAGTTTCTGAGAATATGCCTTTACTGAAAGAATTTATCAGATCCTGTCCTAGAGATCTGGGATTGAAAAGATGAATGAGGTTTGTGCTGATGTTTGGCAGTGAAATTGTGATATCCATGGAAGTCTTAAACTGTTGCTCACCAGTGTTGTGACTGAAATCCAGGCTTTGCCTTCTCAAGGCTCTATTGCTATTGTACACACACACGTGCGCGCGCACACACACACACACACACACAGGGTGCCATACTGAGGTATTTGAGCAAGAGTATAGTCTGCAAGACATATGAAGTTGTCCTTTTGTTCTGTCCATCGTTGCTAACAGTTCAGCTGGAGCAGAGCGTCCAGTTTTTCTGCTAGAAAATAAAACTACAGTTTGAGAAAAGCAGTGAGCAACTGGAGGGTATCCAGAGAAGATCAGAAAGGATAATCAGTGGTTTAGAAAACATGGTCTAAGATGAAAGATTAAACAAAAGGGGAGAATATAACTTAACAAAGAGAAACATGAGGGGGGACGCAATAGTTATTTTCAAATCCATTAAAATGAAAATAATACATTGCCCTCCACATCAGCAGTAGGAAGGTAAGAAATAATCTGCAACATATTCAGTTTTTCTGTTAGATTAATTTTCTGGTCATGAGCATAATGAAGCATTTGAACAGATTGCCTGGCATGTTATGGAATCTGTATTACTGAAGGCCTTTAACAGTAGGTTAATCAAATTCTGGTCGGTAATAACACAAGCATTTCTGGTCTTTTTGTGGCCAGAGTAGACTAGATGAGCTTTTGAGATCCTTTCTAAGCCTGTTTCTGTAATTGGCAAAAATCTCTCTTCCTCATCTAGTTTTCCTAACTTTCTCTAGTGTTTAATGTCCCTGACTTTCTTTTACTTAGAAATATCTGCTGAAACTCATTGCTCCGTTCTTACTAAGAAGGGTACAGTGTTCGAGAAATGCCATGCTGTGGTGAACCCTATTCCTTTCTACAAGGTAGGAACTTAAGATAGATGGTGCGTGGAGGGAGTCCAAATATGGGCCAGAATGTACTCATGTACAGTACACCACTAATGTGGATCAGCAATGTGCAATTGGTCAGGAACAAGAGTTCCACTGCACTGAAAGCCTGGCTTAACCGTAGGCTGCCAATCCCAACAGTAGGAATCGAAAGATATTTTTGCTCCCACTGCAGTTCTCCTTGTCAACAACTTCAACAATGCAAAGTATCGATTTTCCCATGTGCATAAGTGAGCTCATTACATTTGCCCCTGTCTATGAAACGTTTTGAAAATAAAAAATGAAAAGCAATGAATAGATAAAGGCATTGTTTTAGCTGCTTAGCATATTTTATTCTTGTCAGCCAAGCAATTAATCTGATCATTTTGATCGGTGTTCTGGTTATGCAAAAACACGTATTTTGCATGACTGACTTCTGCATTACCCCAGCATTGTTAACATTTTCAGATGTCTGCTTCCCAGTAACAGAGTATTCTCCATGTGTTGGGTTTCAGAGATGCGTCTACCAGGCCTGCAATTATGAAGAAACCTTTCCCTATATTTGTTCTGCTCTGGGATCATATGCACGAGCGTGTAGTTCAATGGGTTTAATCCTTGAAAACTGGAGAAACAGTGTGGACAATTGCAGTAAGTAATTGAACCAAATCCTGAAAGTATGCCATCATATGAATGCATGCATATAGGTCTATCTATTTCCATTTAGAAAACTCCCATGCTTGATTCACCTATGACAAAGTTGAACAAGAATCTATATTTTAAAACTATATATTAGTCATTAGAAGATAACGACTTATTGCTCCAGTAAGTCAAACAGCAGGCCTGGTTCCCATATTCCCAGGAGCTGCTGATCTCACAGATACGTCAAAACTCAGCAAAACGCCTTAAACAGTAAAACAGTATCCTAAACAGTGTCCAAATCACCTTAAGAGTAATGAGAAAAACAGACAAGAGAAAGAAGAGGAAAGCAGAAGTGGAATAGCAGATATCCAGCTCGTAAACACTCTGCTAGAGATCAAGACTGCAGTGCCTGAAACTGAAAAAAAATCATGTTTTGATGCTCTATTTTGGCTGCTCAAAAAAGGATTGTCATTTAAGATTGTAGCAAAAGACTGCTCATAGGCTTTAAGGTGAATATGCGGATACTTCCAGGACTTCCAGGACTTGATATTTAAATACTGGAATTAACAGATAAATGAAGCTATAATGTGCCACAGGATAAGAAAGAACAAGGAGGGACTCTGGCTGCAGATGTGATTTTGCCATTATGCAATTTAGACAGCAGCACCATTTTCAAAGTTATATTAAAACATATTAGTATTTCTGCAAAGCTTCTTTTTGCATGATTGCATTCCAAGATACACAAAGAAGCAATAAGATGATATTTAACCTTTATAAAACTTCCGAACAGCTACAGGGTGGGTATTAAGCCATGGTCTGCAATATCTTTCGCTACAGCTCCACATCCTCAGGGAGAGAAGTAAGAGCATTGACAATAGATAGAATGTGTGCAGCGTATCGCTCTGAACCTAGTATCTTTCACAGGGAAGGGGAGAAGGAAATGAAATTTAACACGCACTCTTGCCTTGTTTTGCAGCCATTACTTGTACTGGCAATCAAACTTTCAGCTACAATGCTCAGGCATGTGACAGGACATGTTTGTCACTCTCCAACCGAGCCCTGGAATGTCATCCAACTGACATCCCTATTGAAGGGTGCCATTGTCCTAAAGGAATGTACTTGAACCACAAAAATGAGTGTGTTCGTAAATCTCATTGTCCCTGCTATTTAGAAGATCGAAAATACATTTTGCCTGACCAGTCAACAATAACTGGTGGGATTACCTGGTAAGTTTGTCAAGTTCAAAGACGAGCAAACTGAAAATGGGGAAGAGGTATCTGCTTTGCTTTTAATGGTAAAAGATTATTTTGGGGGGCTTCTTTTCTGCTCCTTCCTAAAATACAAAGATTCTTGCAGGAATGATTTGAAGGAAACATATGACTTTAAGCTTGGAAATGCTAAGGAAAAAATCAGAGAATATTAGGTAAAATCTGATTATTCTGGTAGATCATAGTACAAGATTTTGCCAACAGCATCTGTACAGCTACTTACAAACCAGATGATGGCCCGCTGTTCACTTTCAAAACTGATGTTACTGTATACTGCAAAAAGTAAACAGAGGCAATTGACACGTTTCATTTTGGAGGATGCAAAGGAGCTAGTATTACAGATGAAACATTTCCAGTGGTGAAAAACGTGAAGTCATTGTGCAAAAACCTAAAAATTCCTTTCTTAGGAGAGAATTGCACTGAAATTCTCCCCCTCCCCCTTTTTTTCCCCCCCTCTAGCTACTGTGTTAATGGGAGGCTAAGTTGCACTGGCAAACCTCAAAATCCTGCAGGTATGGATCTGGCTACAGTTTACTTTGAACACTATTCTTTTCCCCTGTATTATAAAATCACAACTTCACAATCTCCTATTTCTTTTTCTTCCTTTTTTCTAGAAAGCTGCAAAGCTCCTAAGAAATATATATCATGTTCTGACAGTTTAGAAAACAAGTATGGAGCTACATGTGCCCCTACCTGTCAGATGTTAGCCACTGGAATTGAATGTGTGAGTTTCACAGCTCTGGGATATAAATGCTCTGAGAGAGGAAGAATGTTCTAGTTGTTACCTTGAACTCAAGAAGTCCAGGATTCAGCTCCTTCTAGTAAAATGAATGTTTCTTCTAACATGACATAGTTAAACACCAGACTTCTTTGCAGAGACTGTAGACACTAAAAATGTATATACACCTTCAAAAGGTGATTAAATGAACTCATAGAATAAAAATCCATGACTGTCACCTGTGACTCAGGTACTCCATAAGCTGCATGTCACTGGAAACTGATAGAACATGAAGTATGTGCTTCCTATTTTATTCTTCCCCAAATGCCTGCTAGTGACAGTTATAGAATGCAGGAGGCTAGATGGACTTTTTATCTGTGCTGTTATGGCTTTTCTCCTGCTTTTAAGGAAACAGACTGACTGGAAAAATTATAATGTAATAGGTTTCTTTCATATAAAGAAACTTATGATCTATTTGTCCAAGAAGGTGCTGACACTGAAAGATAAATTCTTCAAAGAGTCTTCAAGTATGTTTACTATCTCATACAACATGTATATTTTACAACTTCAGTGAAACTAGTACAATTAAGTAGTATAGTAACACTAGTAAAATCATAAAATTCAAATCAAAACTTAGCACATGTTGATTCTTGACACTAGTCACATAAAACGTAAAAGGTCTCCTTACATTTCTTTGCATTTTACAATTTTTTGATCTTTACCAGGTACCTACTAAGTGTGAATCAGGCTGTGTCTGTGCTAATGGGCTGTATGAAAATCTTGATGGCAGGTGTGTACCAGCTGAAGAATGTCCCTGTGAATATGGTGGTCTTGCTTATGGAAGAGATGAGCAGATCCAAACCGAATGTGAGATCTGGTAAGAGTCAAAGTTTTCCATTGCTGATCCTGTTTCAATACACTGCACAAATAGACGATGAAAGCGTGTAATTGACAGGAGAATAGGAAACAGCAACAGCTGAACTACAGCAACAGAGCACAGAGGTGATAAAGACAAGCATAACACTTGACAGTGTATATGCATAGATGAAAAAGTCATGGCCTTGAAGCCGTACTGGCTTCAAGGATAATCTTTACCATCTGCATATCCAAGACTAAGGTGGCATCTAGGAGAGCCTGTAACTATATAAGAACAAGAATTAACAACTCCACCTAAGTAAAGATGAGGACACAGACTTCCTCCTCTTCTCTAGATAAAAAAACGCCTCCCAAAAATATTTCCACTTTTTTAGCAACATTCTCAACAACT